GAAAGGCTTCAAGACTGCTGCACCCCAAGCCAATCCGTCCATCCGCATGGTGCTGGCTGCCAAAATTGATGCTGCGGTCAGAGCACGGCTAGCTGCGGGCAAACGCATGGGCTCCAAGGCCAACAAACGACCGCCAGGCAAAGGACCATAACCCCTGTTCATCCCGACAGCCAGTCAGTTGCCAGATGCTATCTTTGCTCACAGCTTTTGTCAGCCATTCCCCTGCATAAAGTCGAGGCCAACTAATGGTTTCGGATCAAACCAACATAGAAGCACATCTCATCTACTGCTACGAGGGGTGCTTGTGCGATCAGACCTTGGAACCGGGTCCGGCCTCGCAGTGACATTGGGAGTGATCGATCGGCGTGGACCTGATCGTCACACAACAGTTTGAGGCAGACCGAATTCTGATCATGTGGCTTCCGATCTGGACCCTCAGAGTGCATTTGGCCGGTCTGAGTGGGGGGGGCGAGGGGTATCAATCCAGGCCTTTAGCGCTGAGGCCCGGATCTGCCTCTTCGGGGGGTCTAATTTTGAGCGCTGTTTATTCGGAGCTCATGGTGTTTGGCAGGCAGCTTGACGGACATCGGGCCTTTGTGATCATTGTGATGGCTCCTCCTTTCCCTTTGCCTCCATCATGGGCTGCGGTGGCGTCTCTGCGTCTACAGGATCACAAGCCTCGGCTTCCTGGGCCGGTTTGTAGGTCGATCGATTGGCCAACGCTGTGGTTTCATGGTTGGGCTTGTTGCAATATAGCGACTTGCTGGCGAAAGGTGGAAGACACGCCTTGGTCATTTGGTGGGTCGAACCTGTGTCACGCAGGGACAGTGCTTTCTCTCGAGAAATTGATTTAGTGCACTAGCTACGGAGGCCTCAATCTTAGGGCTCTGCAGAATTGGGGGGCCCGAACACAATGCCAAACTTGGTGAGCACTGCTGCTTGGAACAGGGCAGGCTCCTTCATATGAGAAAATGGCTGCAGCATGGCATCACAAGCGGCGAAAGTTGCTTGAGCAAGGTGTTTCAGCCCTTGTTCTGCAAGTGGCTAATGGGAAGCTGTGCCAAACACTTTACCTAAGGCTTGGGCGACTTGCACAACATGCCAATGGGCCTGCGCCAGTGAGGCCATCTGTCCGAGATCAAGGCGCAGGTTGCACTTTGCATTCTGCTGGGGTGTTCCGTCGGGACCATGTGAAGCATGGCTACTTCATCAGGATTGATGTGTCGCATGGGAATCTCTGTTCCTCGGACTGAAGTGGTGCCAGGCACTGGGATGAAAGCGCCCTACAACCCTTTTTCCTCAAGCCATTGTGGAGTAAACCCTCCTGACCTGCAGCCGCATGCGCACGCATGTAGCGCTGTCGAAAGTGGCATCGTCGGATTCACAGAATTCTTGCCTAGCCCTCCAGGTTGTTCTGCAAGCGCTTCAAGCTCATGGGGAGACGAGCAACTCTTGAACCTGGTGATCAGGCCACACTGCAAGCGTCGGGATCAGGTGTCGAAATGACGGGAAGAACGGTATTTGGACAAATGGATGGACCACAACCGCCCACCATCTAGTCCTCTTCGCTGGCCAAAAGTCCTGCAGCTAGCAAATCTGCTGTTGCAACGTAAATCCCGTGCAGCGGCAAAAGGCCTGCAACGTGTTTTGCACCCATGGTGAAGTCATGGCTTCCTCGCTCCAGGATTCTGCTGTCGGCTGGAACAGATAGCCTGCTTTAATCATCCCTTCAAGTCTCCGAGCTCGTCGATCCAGTTGTTGTCTGCGATCTTCCAACTGCGAGACAGGCTGGCAAGCAAATCCACCTGTGAAGATGCAGGGTGTCTCCCTGCGGTGAACCAATGCTAGGTGGACTGCAGCGCTGTCGATGTCACCCTCAATGACCGGGATGTTCTTTGACCTTAGCCCAATGGGCATAGTTGGAGTTGAGCTCAACATGGCACCGAATGCTGCAATTGATCCACTTGTACCCTGCAGTCATGACCCTGCACAAACGTCAATCACATCAGTGGCAGAGGCGCTATCGAAAAGCCCATGGGTCTTCAAGGCGGCACTACTTGCATCAACCAGGATGGAACTGCCAATCGATTGTTTGATCGCTGCGATCACTGTGAATCGTTCTCCACAGCGGTGTGCCAGTGACGTAGATGTGTTGTCCAAGAAGCCAGGTGGCGCAGCTATATCACAGGATCATAGAACAAAGCTTTTCCCGAAAGCGACGCTGCGCTCCGGGCAGTAGGGTCCCTCCCAAGTCATCGGCCGGCTTCGGTGCACCAGCTGGAAGATACCTGGGCCGACACCTAGCGATGGCCTCCAACCTAAGAGCGATGGCCTCGAAGACCCATGGCCTCCAACCCTACTGGCGATGGCCCCCAACCTAAGAGCGATGGCGTCCAACCCTACTAACCTTAATAGCTCCCTTGTTCCTAGTAGCGGCGCCCATTGCTCCTAGTAGCCTCCAGGAGAAAGTTCGGAATGCGAAGCTGGCCATTGACTTCAAGTTGTCCCAGTGGTTCCCGCTCCACGAGCGCCGCAAAGGCGGCCCTGCTGGCGCACCGGCGCCCGTTTTACCGCCCGGACGAGAGTTGGGGAGCTTGGCGACATGCAAATACATTCAAACAAGAAGGTGGCACAAGCAGACCCTTTCGAATCTTGTTAAACGCTTCTCAAAGTTTTGGCCGTAGAAGTGTGAGTGCGGAAAAGCTGACAAATTGCATGGGTTGATACGGGTTTTGTTGGACTGAGGCCTTCAAGCAGCTTGTGGTTCCGGACAGGTGGAACGTCACCTGCAGGTAGGGCGACCATCGCTTCTACAAGTCTACGATTTCTCACGTGGAAAGGTGATCCAGGATGTGATGTAGTGTGAGATTTTGCGACGCTGATTGAATTCAGGTGCGCCAGAGTCGGGGCTCCTGGTTTCTCATTCCTTTTTTGATAACGGGCAGACACAAGCTGTTCACGCAAGGTCCATTGAAGATGGGTCAGCTGATTCTCGGTGGCAAATGTGAGAATCAACCTGTTGAAGCTTAGGTTTGCTCACAGCTTCAGAGGTGAGTTGTTTGAACATGTTTAGGGTGCATGTTGAAGTGCCAATTCCTAAGGTGAAAGTCACTGGCGGCCTGTTGTGAATAGCTCAGCAGAATTAACCAGCAACATGATTCAGCTGGGCAAATGGCATACTACTTCAGACAAAGAATCAAATAAATCAAGAGCGTGTAGCTCAAGTTAAGAAGTGGCAACCAAACAAACAGAACTCAAAGACGATCATAGTCGCAATCAAAACTATCCATAAATTGCTGTTCTCATCTTGGTCACACTTGTTCTACCTTGGCCTGATGAGCAAAAATGGAAGTTTGGAGCAGATGCAAGTTTGAGTGCGTTTGATGTTCTTGGATTTTTTCTGGACGGACTACTGTCGACGAGTGCTGAAGGCAGTTCAAAGCTTTACATCATTCCTGGCGTTCTTGCAACGTGTAGCACGAGGAAGTCCTAACAAGAGGAGGGCATAGTCAGTAGATGTCAGTAGGACAAGAGGTGGAAACTGGGTGGCGCAGATAGCTTTGTTTCTTAGTGGGAACGAGCAGTGACATCCAAGAATTCATGATGTTCTGAAAGCTAGGCTGGAGGGCTGGAGTTGTGGGCACAGAACAAAGTGAGCATTAGGGATGTGGAGGGGGGTTGCACATGGCCATTTTCGACAAGGTGAGCAAAGCACAGGGTGGAGGAGCCGCCCACGAATACAATCTTAACGGCATTGTATTCTCGCCCTCCCCAAAATAATGATAAGGATGCGGTGCTTTGTGTGTTATCTATTTCTAGGAACGCATTCTTATTGAGAAGGGAGGCAAGAACCAGCCGCTTGCGAAACAAGTCTTGGTTTTCGCTTTTCCTTCTCAGGTTGAGTTTTACAGGTGAGACTTGGCTGTTGCATCTCCCAGCTATGGCGCGGCACGGTGCAGCGCGCAATACTGCAGCCCGGCGCACTGCGCCGGTTGAAACCAACAGTCTGTTCGAAGAGTTTTATCAAAAACAGCAAGTTGTGGGAGAGGCGCGGGTGTTTGGGCAGCTTCAGGGTTCTCCACTGGTGAAGGTCATTTGACCTTCTACGAAGGCTGCTCTAAGTGCAGGACAGCTGGGATGAGTTCATGACAGTCTTGCAGAAGCCGATGCCCGTCGTGGTTCGCCTCAACCGAACAAAGCCACATTGGCAGGACCGATGACCGTCATTGTGTTATTTTTTGTGAGCCTCTAGTAGCCTTCTTGCTACTAGTAAGGCCATACGCTACGTTCGTAGCGTCGCTAGTAATTGCCTCCAACCTACTAGGCGTGATTCGCCGCCTTCGCCCTTCAGGAGCTGCAGGTGTCCTTCGCGATGGACGTCCGGTGGTCGGAGCTGCCGTGGTTTCCTGGCGCTTGGCGATGCGACGCCAAAGACTACGATGATTCCCTGAGATCACAGTGCTCAGCGTTGAATAAATCCTATGCCCTGCGGTTTCAAGAAACTCGTCACAAGAAGCTGGCCGGTGTTCAAGTACTTTCAACCAGTCCTTTCAATTTGGGTTTGCGCCGCTTGTTTGCGCCGAGGAGGCTGCATCTTTGGTTCCCCCCTTGCTTTTGGAGGTGCCGATCCAAATCAATCACATGGGCAGTTCTGGTGTGGCCAGGTGAAGTCCACTGATTTGCTCCTGGACTTGTGTGCAGCACCAGGTGTTTGAGATAGCTTGAGAATGAAGTGGGAGAACACCAGAAACCGCAAAGCTCAGAGACATGACCTGCTTCTTTCCCAAAACAAGAGCTCAGGGTGCTGTGGCAGAACACAGACATCAACCGACGAGGCAGTAAGACCTTGGAGTGCATCGAGCTCATGCGGGAGGAATCTGACAGCCTTGAGGCTGAATCCGCTGCTTGCAGGTGAGTCACCATAACTCTTGCAGTATCTTACAGTGTGCACCATAGTAGGTTCAACTGTGAAGGATGATATCAATTGGAACTGAGCCGGTCGCGTGTGATGTGTTTGTCCTGATTCCTGATGTTTAAATTCCCTTGTGTATTAAGTCACGTAGTAGGTCAATGTGCTTGTTGAGCATGTCTGTTGAGCAAGCTACCAAAGGAGTGAAAGGAGGATTTGTAGCTGCAATAACGAAATACATGACACAAAACCAAGTGGGCAAGTGTCTACTCTGAACTGACGACGGCTGTCGGCTTCGCATTTTGCCTGTGCCCGGAGGGTGTCGTCATCGCCAACGATGCGGATGCTGAACGCTGCTTCGAACTGTTGCCACTGATCACCAGGAAGGCATGAAGAAAGTTATGCAATAAAATATTGTAAGCGACAATTTTGTTCTTGCAATGCTAGGGATCTTAAGACCAAGAAGACGATCAAGACCCAAGCGTCTTTTGTTTGCGTTTGTTGCGTCCTTCTTTGTATTTTTGATCTGACGATGGGATGGTGAACAGGACTTGACTCCCCAAGCGAAGTATTGCACAGTAAATGAGCTCCAATGATGCTCCTCCATTCGGTGGGTGCTGCGTGAATGAGCGTGCTCCATTTTCTGAGATTTCTCCTTGTGTGAGTGACCACCCATTTGTAGGGGGGTCGAGCGAGTTGACCTATGCAAGAAAGCGACATTTCGATGGAAGAGTGATTTGATCAACTTGCAACTGCTTCGACCTGTTTTCATTGCGAATGTTCTGCAAGCACATCCCCCAATTTGGCAGAAGAATCGTGAAATGGCTTCGGGTCGACCACATGCATGGCAAGAAGCAGTCGTTATGAGAATCTCACGTTTGCCATTCTTGCAACCCGTAGAGTGCCCTTTGTAGCAAGCCGCCGGATGACACCAAGTGAGCACAGACCTATAGCTGCTATGGTTCGGTGCTCAAATCAACTACACCAAACCCACTTGATCCTTTGCCTGGTGGGGTTCGTCCAAAGCGGTCGATAGGAGCTCTTAACTTCTGTTTGTGCGCAGTCGTGCATGTTTGTGGACGGTTATCAAACTGTGAAGGCTCGTCATCCGGGATGTGCTGTGGTGCTTGGGAATGGTGCCAAGTATCCCGCACAGTTCTGGGGCCCAGGAGATCAGCTCTTGCAACCTGGCCTGGTGAGGGGTTGAGTGGTGTGGGAGAAGAGAGGATGCAGCTGAAACTTTCATAACGCTTGTTGGGTTGGAAGTTGTTTTGGAAGGAGTTTTGCGAGGACTAGTCACATCTAGTCACTAGTCGAGAAAGTTGCAGACAGGAGATCTTGCTTTAGCACGTTTTTGGCTGGGGGATGAATCAGCTATCCGGTGAATTATCCACTGCTAGGTAGCCCCCCGGTCTTCTGTTTTGTGGGCCCCCTGTGCTGTTGGTTAACCTGCATTTTAAAATATAGTTCTTATGCAATGCTTTCACACCATATGTATGCCACATTTGGATCAAGGTGCACTCACTTCGTTGCACTCACTCTTGCGGGGCCAGTTTCACTCGCTCGGCGTTAACTCCGTAACTCGTTAACTCCTCCATCCTGCGACACTACGTGAAAAACAAGGCTTCGTGTCAATTAAAAGGGTTGGAACATTAATTTTC